AATAGGGAGATTGCTGGGTCATATGAAAGGTCAATTCCTAGTTCTTTCAGAAATTGCCAAAGAGGTTGCACTAGTTTGCACTCCCACCTTGTGTTTTCAAATTTCCCATTTAGATCTCATTTTTATGTTATATCTCATAAGTGGTTCTAGAAGACTTTTGAAACTTTCAAGTCCCTAACTTACCTTTGTATAACCAAATTTATATTAGGTCATGGAAAGGGTGTACACACTGGAATCAAATAGACCTTGGTTTAAATCTTGGAGCTGCTAAGGGTTAATCGTGTGACTTTGGGTAACTTAACTTTAAGTTTCCTTAAACTCACTTAAAAAAAATTGAGGTAACAGAACTTATCTTCTAGGGTTGTTGTGAAGATTGAAGAAATAATGTATGCTTTACCCACATCCTCTGATTCCCCTTACCATTTCTGGACCCCCACCAGTCTGATTTCCATTGGTTGGAACCACTGTCTTGGATTATGTTCATCTACTGACACCTGCCCTACTTCTCCTACGTGGAGAAGTCCTTGGAAATAAATGATCCCCAGAGTCTTAATCATAACCAGTGACATAACTAGTGACTGCTGATTATAAGGTTATAAGGTCCCCTAGCTTCTTTACCCTTTCCTGGGATAATTTGGAAGCCCCTAGAGCTTCTGCATTGGTTAATCTTCAGGTATCCATGCAGCAGCTGATTTGATAGTATACCTCTTATTGGCTGCTTTCCCTTCCTTCCTAACAGGGTGTCTATACTTCTTCAATAAATAATCTGTACTCAGTTCTTGGGTCAGACTCTGCTCCCAAGGAAAACTCAACTGAGATAGCTGAGTACAACTCAACTTTTTGCACACTGCCTACAACATGTAGGCCCTCGGTAATTGCAAATTATTCATAATGAAATATTTGCTCTTCTCATAAGATATTCTTCATTCTTCACTGAAATATACTAGATACCTTCAGGTTTTGTACTCTCAGTTGGAGCTACTTTTAAAGATACAGTATTATCCCCTGGTGACTTTCCTTGAGGCATACAACAACCTAACAGCTTGCTTCTAGGACACATGTGGCTAGTCTGAATCAAGATGTGGTTAAAGTATAAAATACTTAGTGGACTTAGTATGAAAAAAGAAGAGTGTGGAAGATCTCATCAATACTTTTTACATTTTAAAATGACATTGCTTTGGATATGCTGGTTTAAATATGATGTATTATTCAAATTAACCTTACCTGTTGCTTTTGCTTTTTAAATGCGGCTACCAGAAAATTTTAAGTTATATGTATAGCACATTTTCTATATTAAACTTTTAAACTACATGTAATTATTAAATACAATTTACATTTCTATCAAACAGTATTCTAGAAAATTATCAGATTATTTGGAAATCCCTCTCTGTCAAGCTTGTCAGGGGCGGCCCGTGATCTCCTTGTGTGTTTTATTTTAGGTTATATGTCACCGCACCCATCCTCACTGGGAACCCCAGAGCACGTCTCCAGCCCTATGTCTGGAGGAGGCCCAACTCCACCCCAGATGCCACCCAGCCAGCCAGGGCCCCTCATCCCGGGTGATCCACAGGTGATGAGCCAGCCCAACAGAGGTCCTTCGCCTTTCAGTCCCGTCCGGCTGCATCAGCTTCGAGCTCAGATTTTAGCTTACAAAATGCTGGCCCGGGGCCAGCCCCTTCCAGAAACACTGCAGCTTGCAGTCCAGGGGAAAAGGATGTTGCCAGGTATGCAGCAGCAGCAGCAGCAGCAACAGCAGCAACAGCAGCAATAGCAACAGCAGCAGCAGCAGCCGCCGCCGCCACAGTCACAGCCACAACAGCAGCAGCCAGCCCTTGTTAACACAGCAGGCCATCTGGTAGGTTAATATGCAACCAAATGAATAACACCATGGTGCAATTCAGATAAGAAAGGCTGCACACACACAGAAGTGCTGGGTTGGTGTGAGCCCAGGACTGACTCTGTCTCTTGACGTACATCTCTGGCTCTCTTTTCTTGCTCCACTTAGATGGCCAAGATTCTTGGTCTCCTCCTGCTGTGGAGTCCTAGAGCAGTGTTTCTTAACCTTTACAGACCCTTGTGCAAGCTGTGGACCCAGGGAAAAAGCACTATCACTCATGATTTTGCATTCTCTTTCAAGAGGTTCAAGGTTTCTTGGAAGCCCATCCGGAAACCCCAGGTTAAGGACCCCTGCAGCCAGTGTAGTCTATCCACAAAACTCACTCTTCAAATCAGCCCCACTAGAGCCATTTTTATATTTGGTTATTTATTTGTTTCTACCCCTTTTTGTTGTGAAAAGCATCTGGGGAGGCTTACAAGAAGCATATCTGTAGTAAGGTAATTGTCAAGTAGAAAGTCAGAAACAGGGAAAAATATAAATAAGCAACTGAGGTCAGCAGTGTGGGGACTGCAAGGGCTCTCAAGTTGCTGTAGCTGAGCTTCAAAGATGACTTGAATTTCTTGACAGTCAGAGCCAAAAGGAGACATGATCATATACCCAACGCTCACCAGTTGGAAGGAAGTTTCTTGCCAGTTTCTCAGAGCACACAAAGCCATTTCTAGCATAAGAGTATAAAGTTGATTTCCCAAGGGGGATTATTCTTTAAATTATTATCATCATCATCACGATCATTATTGCTGTAAGAGGCACTGCATGATAGAAACATCAGTGACATTTATTCACAATAGAGTAATCGATTCCATTTGGTCTATTTCTTATACACTCTGGGATAAAGCCTGAAGCTGTGACATTGACAGTATGCAATAGGTAGAAATGATATAATCCTTTTGCCTGGCCACCTGGTGATCTGGTTTGATCCCACAAATTAAATTCAGAGGTACAAGGGATCGTAGGATAATCTTGCATGAAGGTTGTTTTCTCTAGGAAGATATTTCTTAAGAACTGGAAAACCAGAGGAGAGTTTTTGGTTGTGCCCTAGTGAGAGCTATGGATTCTAGGGAATGGAGTGTGCCTTGACATTGATAACCGTTTTCTGTGAGTGGTTTCCATTCATCTGGGTCATCCCTGACATGCTAGGCATGACTTATTGCAAACAATTAGTTTGGTATATTGGTATTCTTCCTAGGTTTGGGGAATTGTACAGTAGGAAAGGGTTCAAATTACTGTATCTTTTTAATTGACCACTTGTTGGGTTTGTAAATGTTTCTTTGCAGGGAGAGGCAGCTCCAAGAGTTGGCCTCCCTGAAAGATATACTCATCTTGTTTATTGTAGGTATAATCTTAAGAATGGGTGCCTTAGTTTGAGCTGCTGTAACAAAATACCATAGACCGGGTGGCTTATAAACAACACAGGCACACAACACAAATAATTCTCGCATTTTGGAAGCTGGGAAATCCAAAATCAAGGCACTTGCAGATTTAATGTGTCAATCTGAGGGTACACTTCCTGGTTCATAGATAGCGCCTTCTCACTGTATCTTTGCATGGTGCTAGGGGCAAGGCGGCTCTCTGGGGCCTCTTTTGTAAGGGCATTAATCCCAATAATGAGGGCTTTCACCCTTGTGATGTAATCAGTCTCCAAGGGTTCCACCTCCTAGTAACATCTCCCTGGGGTTAGCATTTTAACGTATGGATTTTGAGGGGACACAAACATTTAGACCACAGCAATGAGTTTTTTTAAAAAGAGCAAGAATGTATCATTTCATTTCCACATTTCTATGCGGCTACCATGGAAGCCTTTTGGTATGTGGAGAGGATCACGGGGGACTGAGAGCAGTGGAGACTAGTAAGGTTATGTAAGAAAACTTTGCAGAATACAGCAATTTAACCATCCACGTATTTAGAGATTTTAAAACTGCAAAACTATAGTTGTTGAGAATGTAGCCAGATAGAAGAAAAACGAGTGTATGTATATGTATGTGTGTGTGTGTGGCTTATCCTCAGGTCTCTGCTAGCGAAAGCGCCATTCTCAGCGATGAGTACTCTGCACCTGTCACACAACTAATGCTGGAGAGTCAGGGTTCAGACCCCAGCATTCTGACTTGAGAGAACTCATGTTCTTAGCCACTTTCATACTGGCTCGTCTGTGGCCAAAAAAAAAAAAAAAAAAAAAAAGGCTTATGACACAAAGTCGGTGTACCAAAATGCAATTTGCTCCTGTGTGGAAAGGAGCAGAGTATCTGCGCTCCTTACTTAGAGCCTTTTTCCTTTCACTCTAGACACAATGTCAACAAAATCAGTAATCTTTGTGTCCCATATCTCAGTAAATGAGGAGTATTAACTAACAGGGTTTTGAGTAGAGGCCAGCTAGTAGCAACCATATAGTTGAAAGCTTGATGGAGAGGTGGGAAGAGAACCTAGATCTTCCAAGAGGTGGTTTGGGACCTGGTCATCTGGACATAATCCACTATGCATCACAGTTTGTCCTGGGAAATCACCTTGTTGCAGACCCCAACCAACACTTGTATTTTTAAAACATGATAGACTCCATAGTAAAAGATTCCAAGGTATCATTTAAGAAGGTAGGTAGCTGAGTAATGGTTTGAGAAACCTTTTTATCCAAAGTTAAAATCATGAGACTGAACAAAACAGTAACATTCATAGGATAAAGTTTCAGATATCTGGACGCTTGTATGTAGTAAATGCCTCATCTCCTAATAAACCCAATCCCGAGAGCACTTTCTGGATTGTTTTCAGAGGAGGGGACTCTGTTTCTTTTTGAACCTGTCTCCAACATCTTCCCTCATCTGATCCCTGGCATTAAAGGGAGTTTGTCATATTATTCACTGTTCATGTCTTTTCTATTTGCAACAGTTGGGGCTTCATTAAAAGTGAAGATATTTGGGCAGATAGGGTTTTATGCTAAAGTGGGCAAGGAGGCTGTGGATGGAAGAAAGAAGATACCTGTCTTCTAACAGAATGAGCCCATTTCTGTCACTGAGAAGCTGCTTCCATCTGACAGCATTGTTGAACCTGTCCCCAAATCTCACATTTCATCAGGGAGACAGATAATCTCACTTGCCAAAGACATTTTTTTAAGATTGGCTTTTAGGACAAGTCAAATTAAGGCAAGATTTTTTCCTTTAAATTTAATATTAGACTTTACGTATTAATTTTTTATCTCCATTTTTTAAAAAAGGTATAACTGCTTATAAATATTCTGCTATTAATAATATTTCAGGATATTAGCCATTCATCTGGAGGTTCTTGTGTTCCAGTTTTCCTTTTGTCCCATTTCCTGTTGTTATTCATGTGTGAGGACAGTCTTTTTGGCTGGGGTGGTTCTTTCTCAAACCTACTCCCAAGTTGTAATTCACCAAAAGTGACATCATCCTGGCCACCACCAGAAAATTATGATTTGACCCGAGGCACTGCACACTGAACACACACCTGCAGTGGTTCCCTTGCAAAGTGTCAGCCATTCTTCTAATAGAATGTGCCTTTGCCCGCTGTGGGCATCATTTGAGTCTAACCATCATTTTTCTTTTCATTCTGATTCACGTTTCCTTTTAGAGAGTCAAACAAAATACAAAAGGGGAATTGAAAAAGTTTTGGTTTTTTTGAGGGGTGAGGGAGGAACCTTAAGGTAGAAAATAAAAGTTTCTTTTTCCTGTTTTTTTCCAGTACTTGTCCCTCCTACCTTTTTTTTTTTGATATCTGATATTTGGTATGCTCATTTTAAATAAATACACTTCGTTACACTTGTTTTATTTCCAACCTGTGGAAAGCACTTAAATTCCTAAAGTTCCCATTTGTATTTTACCTGACTCTCTAAAAGGAAACATGAATGAGAATGAAAAGAAAAATGAGGGTTAGACTCGAATGATGCCCACAGCAGGCAAAGGCACATTTTATTAGAAGAGTGGCTGACACTTTGCAAGGGAACCACTGCAGAGTTACGTGTTCGATGTGTAGTACCTTGTGTCAAATCATAATTCTCTGTTGGTGGCCAGGATGATGTCACTTTTGGTGAATTATATCTTCAAAGTATGTTTATTTAACTTTTATTTGCATAAATGTCCTGTATGCCAGAAGACCAAATGGGAGCTCTGAATGCACAGAAATTTTATGCATGTGAGACAGGTATTTTAATAAGTTTATTGCCCTGTTTCTTCAAATAGGTCAGGTATAGGGATGCATACAGTAATACTCCCTCCGCCCCTTAGCTGCACTGTGATTCCTTCTGGAAGGGCCAGGGCATGTATTCACTTTGACTCCTAAGGTGAAGACTAAAGGAAAAGCAGATAGCATTTTGTACCTTTGGTGATTAAGCCTAAATTGTTTATGTTGGAGAAGAGGTAAGATAAGCTAAAGAATGTGATTTGTCTTCCTTTTGAAGATATCAGGGAAAAATCTTATCAGGCAGCAGACTACGGATGTCTGGTATAGAGGAGATGATTTCAGAGCAGACCCAGTCAGTCAAGCAAATGAGCCCTGTAAGCCACCTGAGGGACAGGCAGACATAAAACCCAATGAATAGGTAGTTACATTCTTGGCATGGCTAATTGCAGCAGGCTGCCTTCAGTTCTTAGCTTCTGTCAGTAGAAGTTTTTATACAGTCTGTTAAAGGGAGGGACCCACACAGTAGACGAACTTGTGGTGTTTAGTTGGGAAGAGGAGTCTGCTTTTAAGTGGCTCTGTTAGCAGACCAGCAGGAAGCACATGGCAAACCGAATTTATCTGAATATTTGTTCAGAGACGTTGTATTGAACTGTTGCAACACTTTGATATTTGCTCCCAAAGTTGCTAGGTAATATGGTACTGAATTTCCTAAAAGGTCTTTCTTTTACCATGGGTTTTTTTTGTAAAGCTGA